CTCATCCACCGCCGTGTGGATAATCAATCACTTGTACAGCTTGCTAAAATTAGCCATGTTGTTATTTTTCAATGTGCCAAATTAATGTAAATGTTTGATGTTAAACTTTGATTCTGTAAATAAATTACCACATTCATTTTGATGGGTCAAAGATAAATAACGTCTCACGATACATTTTTGTAAATTCAATGCACGTTATATACAGTCCAGAAAAATGAAAGAATCCGTTTAATATTATGAATATATCTCATGCATATGTTCATCTACATAATTAATCTATTAACATCCATCCATCCATCCATCCATCCATCCATCCATCCATCCATCCATCTAATTTCTTCTGCTTATCTGGGGTTGGTTTGCAGGGGAAGCAGATTAAGTAGGGAGTCTGTTACCAAATTATACAAAACATTGTAGCCTTCAGTAAATTAATCTGCACAAGTAAACCCCCTCCTCCAGTCATGCATTTCAATGCATGTGTAGGGTTTGTGTTTATCTGCTATCTGGCTCCCTCTTGTGTTGTGTCTTAGTCTTGTCCTCCTGTCTCCTCTTAATCTGTTCTTCCTGCTCTCACCTGTCATCATTCCCAGCTGATTGTCATTGTCCTCATTAGTGTGTGTATTTAAGTCTGTGTTCCTCACTCCTTGTCAGCTGGTCATTGTCTCTTCATGTCTACCTCGCTCCCTGTGTTTCCTGGGATCTTCTGTAAAAAGTGAGTTTTCCTGCCATGTCAGCATGTTTATTTAATAAATAATATTTACTTTTTTACATGTGGAGTATTCAGTGTCTGCCTGCATCATTGGGTTCAACTTTTCAAACACTGATTATGAGAGCATGGCAATGATAATTTGACACTTTCCAAACTAGTATTAAAACTGGTTTTGATGGACAATCTGGAACGCAGCTTTAAGATTTAGTTCAAAATTCACAAATATTATAGTTGTTTATAAGCCAGTACTTAAAGTGAGAAACACCAAACTTGAACCAGGTTTCCCAAATTAACTGTTGAAGTGTTTAATTACAGCCTAAAAAGATGTTTTTAATCTCATTATATGTGCAGTAATAATCCCAGAGGAACATCTAGTAATCTTGACTCAATCTCATTTTGCAATACCTTGTTTGAAAGCTTATATCCTGTACTTTTTGATAAACAGAATCTGATCTTGCTAATATTCACAAGTGACTTTGAGCGAGACATTATATTTGTACATTTTTGAAGGAAATCTGTCGTTTCCAGTCCTCAGATTTACATGCACATTTACTGTGACAGATCCACTCATAAATGTATCAAAAACATGGGACTGGCATCACTGTGTATGTTGGCTTCTGACCTTTGCAGTGACACTAAATTTGCAGGGAAACAAGCAGATCTTGTTTACCAAATCAGCTGTTGAAGTGTGTAATTAGCGCCTCAAAAATATGTTTTCATCACAAAATAAGTGCAATATTATTCCCAGAAATTCATCTAGTTATCTTGACTCAATTCCAGCTTGTAACCTGTAGTTTCTGATAAACAGAGTATGGTCTTGCTAATCTTCACAAATGACTTGGAGTGATACATTATATTTGTGCATTTTTGAAGAAAATCTGTCAACTACACTGCAGTCCTGATATGTTAGGAGTTAATTACAGATAATACCCATGTTGAAAGAATCAACAGTTTTATAGGACTGGGTCAGCCTAGAACAGATTCAAACCCTTAATTCTTGGCACCTTTATAAAGAGCACTTTGTCCTACAATTTGATGCAAAGCACGATGTTGTGTGATCTTGACATGTGAAACTATTTTATGAAATTTTAGGTAAACTCACACTTCTACAATACAATTTAAGGATTCTAGTGCAGTTGGCAAAATGTAATTGCTTACTCCAGGAATATACAGTAAATGATGTGGATAAGATGTGGTTTTTCTTACTGGAACTACAATCATCCAAGATGATGTCAGAGAAGACTCATTTCTGTATTTAACTGTGTAAACAGAAAATGAACAGATTGCTGTAAGGCTGTTTTACACCTAATCTACAATATTTCAACAGCTGCCTGTGGGTCAGGAGGAGATTGGAATGAGGCATGTTTTATATGTTATTTAATGTAACTAATCTATTACCATCCATCCATTTTGTTCCACTTATCTGGGGTTGGTTTACAGGGGTAGCAGATTAAGTAGGGAGTCTTTTACCAAATTGTACAAAACATTGTTTGAAACAAGCCTCGAGTAAGTTAATCTGCACAAGTAAACCCCCCTCCCCCAGTCATATTGAGATGCATGTGTAGGGTTTGTGTTCATCTGATGTCTGGCTCCCTCCTGTGTTGTGTCTTAGTGATGTCCTCCTGTCTCCTCTATCTGTTCTTCCTGCTCTCACCTGTCATCATTTCCAGCTGATTGTCATCGTCTTCATTAGTGTGTGTATTTAAGTCTGTGTTCCTCACTCCTTGTCAGCTGGTCATTGTCTCATGTCTATTTCGCTCCAAATGTTTCCTGGGATCATCTGTAAAAAGCGAGTTTTCCTGCCACTTCAGCATGTTTATTTAATAATAAATATTTACTTTTATATGTAGAGTATTCAGTGTCCTGCCTGCATCCTTGGGTTTGACTTTTAAAACACTGATTAAGAGAGCATGGCAATGCTAATTTGATACTTTCAAAACTAGAATTAAAACTGGTTTTTGATGGGCAATCTGGAACGCAGCTTTAAAGTTCAAAATTCACAAATGTAATGGTTGTTTATAAGCCAGTAGTTAAAGTGAGAAACACCAGACCTGCACCAGGTTTCCCAAATCAGCAGTTGAAGTGTTTAATTACAGCCTAAAAAAATGTTTTTATCACAAAATAAGTGCAGTATTAATCCCAGAAATTCATCTAGTTATCTTGACTCAATTCCAGCATGCAATAACTTGCTTGAAAGCTTGTAACCTGTAGTTTCTGATAAACAGAGTCCGGCCTTGCTAATATTCACAAATGACTTGGAGTGAGACATTATGTGTGCATTTTTGAAGAAAATCTGTAATCTCTACTCCAATCCTCAGATTTACATGTGCATTTACTGTGCCAGAGCCACTCACAAGTGTCACAAAAACCTGGGACTGGCATCACTGTGTAGGTCTTCTGCCCGTCGCAGAGACACTAAATTTGCAGGGAAAAAAGCAGATCTTGTTTCTCAAATCAGGTTTTGAAATGTGTAATTAACACCTAAAATACATTTTTATCACAAAAAATGCAGTATTAATCCCAGAGGTTCATCTAGTTATCCTGACTCAATTCCAGAATGCAATACCTTTTTTTTTTTTTTTAAAGCTTGTAACCTCTAGTTTGTGATAAACAGAGTCTGGTCTTGCTAATATTCACAAGTGACTTGGAGTGAGACATTATATTTGTGCATTTTAGAAGAAAATCTTCAACTTCACTCCAGTCCTGAGATGTACATGTTACATTTATTCAGAAAATGGACTGTTTCCTCATGCACCAGTCACCCTCTGACTGCTGTCAGGGAGACACTAAGTGCATTTCCAAAAGAAACTTGAGCCAAGATGATATGTGTGCCTTTAAAAAAATGAACAAAATTATGTTCCTATTATCTTGAATGATTAAGACTAAAGGAACACATTGTAATAATCATGTTAGATTTTACCAGGTGAAAGTTTCAAAATCCTCCCCAACCACACGTGTCTTTGAGCTACAGCGATTTTGATCAAATATTGGGACTCAGGTTGGTCTAGAGGTGTGGAAAAGTGTCAAGCCTTGGCCAAAGGCTCAAATTTCCTCCGTCCAAAAGTGACGTTTTTCAGGTCAGAATTTCCTGACCTTGCTCTGAAAAAACAAGAAAAAAATATTTTTGAACTAGAGCAATTTCAACCACAGATTCAGACTCGGGGTGGTCTGGAGATGCAGAAAAGTGTCAAGCTGCAGCTGAAAGTTCCAATATTTACCCTTTTTCAGTTAGACAGAGCGCATTTTCAGAGGAAACCTGCAGAGATTACATGTGTGCCACTAAAAAAATAAGCTAGATTATTTGCATATTATCTTAAATGATGAAGACTAAAGGAACACAGAATGTAATAATGCTTTTAGATTTTACCAGCTGTAAGTTTCAAAATCCTTCCCACCACACGTGTGGAAAGCTGAGTCCTCCATGTGCGAAGAAAATTTCCTCCCCAACCACACGTGTGGAAGTGTTAGAAAAATTATTATTTTTTTAATATATATTTTAGACTAAGTGCATACCAAAAATGAAAATATAACTTAAAACTAAACAAACAAACTATAAAGTAGAGCAATAACATGCTCCACACATGGTGGCAAGATTTCTACACATGCGTGGAACTATCCACACATGTGTGGAAAAGTCAACCTCAACAGGGTCTTCTTTCCCCACTGATTCTGCCAAGCCTGTTCCCTTGGCTGTGGTTTCGCTAGATAGGAGCCAGGAACTCCTTGGTGGGATAGACCCCATCCTCAGGGCCAGACCAGCAATCCAATGGCGTTGCCGAAAACCCACAGCGGTAGGATCGGCAATACACGAGTTACTAATTCTGTCCCCCCTGAACTGGTCTACACAAACACCTTGGACCTCAAGCGCTGCCCATGTCAGACTCTCGCCACGCCGCCAGTCTGGGTAGACCGTCGATCTCCCCGCATCGGCCGAGTTAGTTTCCCCAGTACCCACTACAGGCACACTACCTGCATCACCACCGGCCTTAAGCCACAATCTCTCCCAGTCCGATTGCGACATAGCATTTGCCGTTAGGGTCCGAGTCCAATAGTCGGGTGACTTGGACATCTGATACAGTCTCCGCAGCTGTATTGATGGGATTAGCCTTTCCAGACGCAGGACTCCCAGGCCACCATCCCGCACACGTGAATACAATAGCCCATTCGCCGCCGACGGGGGCAGATGCAACCATTGCTTCACGGCTTTCCAGACCAACCCATCAATTAGGGCTAGTTTGGTCGACAACACCCCACCTAGGTACACAAGTCGAGGGAGAGCAAATTAGTTCATTAACCGCAGACGCTGTGCGGGCTTCAGTGGAGCCTCCGAGATCCGAGTTACCCACGTACGCACCTCCCGGATGAGATCAGGAATCACAATGCCCTGCCCCGGGCCCATCTGGACACCTAAATAACGAACTGATTCCCCCAGAGGGATCATGTGGATGGGGGTTCCACCGACCCTCCAGGCTTCACAGCCGTTAACCACGCCCTTGTCCATGTAAAACCCGTGGCACTTCTTGGGCTGAACGCTCAGCCCCGTCAGTTGGCAAAATTTCTCCAAAATCCTGAGGCTCCCATTCATTGCCTCCACCGACCCTGACACCAGAACCAAATCATCAGCGAATGCCAACGTGAAGATCATCTGATCTCCCCATCGTAACCCGAATCTGGCTGTTCGTTCGAGTCTATGGATAATGGTATCCATAGCTAGGTTGAAAAGCAAAGGGGACAAGGGGTCCCCCTGCTTAACACCTACCTTAATGTGAATAGGCTGTGTGGGGCCGTCCACACAGTTCACGCTGGTCACACAATCCACATATGAGTTGTGAATCAACTCAATAACGTGAGGGTCGACCTGGCGCTCACCCAAGGTACACAGGATATGTTCATGGGCTATGGAATCAAAGGCCGTTGTAAAGTCAACAAAGACGACTGCTAGAGGGCTCCCGTCCACCCTCGAGCGCCTGATGATCTCGCTCAAAATCAACAGGTTATCTGCGCGACCACTCGAAGAGACCAAGAAACCCCTCTGCCTAGGATTCAGAGGACACGCCCGTGTCATCCTCATAGCAATAATCCTAGAAAACAGCCGAAGAACCACCGACCCGATGGTCACTGGGCGCCACCCGTTGACATCTCGCAGCTCACCTGGATCAGTGGACTTCGGTAGCAATGTCATCCTGCATTCTTTGAAGGCCCGGGGAATGACTCCACGGACCAACCACGTTGTGAATAGTCACGCCAGTTGCTCACCCCGAGGATCCCAGTTCAGCAAACCCTTCTTGCTGACCCTGTCCGGGCCCAGGGCCGTGCCGTTAGACATTTTGGCTAGGTTTTCCACCACCTCTGCTGCCAGTATGGGTTCGTAGAACTCCCGGTTATTGGAGACTAAATCCGTCCGAAACTCCCCAAGCCCGTGGAACTGCCTTCCGACTTCCCATCTCTCACGAAACGGTTTGTAGATTTGTTACATCAGCAAGGCGCATTCCTGGCTCACAGCACCATCGAGGATCTGTGCCGCAACCCTGGCCTGATCCCTCGAATACCAATACTGGCACTCTCGGTACTCATGCCTACGTTGAGCAAGACGCCTTACCCAACCCCTCGCTTGGTTCTGTTCACGGACAGGAGGACACGCCCTACCGGGCCGCTCAACTCCCCCAACTCGCAACGAGATGATTTCTGACGCTGAGGATTTGATCAGCAGAGGGTTCTGATCAACATCCCTAACCAAAGCAGCGATTGCCCTCACCTCTTCGACACCTTCTCTGTCACCCCAACCTTCCAACGCAACTCTGATCCTGTCAACTGACAGGATCTGAGGTGACTGTGCCGAAGACGGATCAGTCTGAGGTTCAGGGTCACCCACCATCACACAACCCTCCTCCTCAGCTACATGTGGGCAATCGCCGGCCACTTCAATCTTCAGGTTTCTCCTTTTACTCCTCACTTGTTCGGCCGTCTTGCCATTTCCCAATTCATCCGCTATGAGTTGGTACGTGGCAACCTTATCCCCGTGCTCATGGACAAGCTGGATGAGCGTCCGCACCTCGTTCACACTCCAGAGCTTTGTCGCCCTGATCTCCCCCATTGGCACCTTCCTCCTTGCCAGTCTCTTCTCGTTCCACTCCACTACATGGACGTGCCGCTTGTGCTGAGAGACACTAACAGGCGTAGGGAACCGGGCATCACAGAATTCGCAAGCGAACCCGCTAGCCGGCTCCCTCTCCACCCCCACTGCACCCCCACCGCACTTGGGCACATGGCAAGAGATGGAGTGCCTGCTGGTGTTGCACCTCCCGCACTCACGACACATGTAAACGGCAGTAACACCCCCGTGCCGGACAGCAAAATGCTTACCAAGCACGACGATGCCCTTCACCTGTACACCACACATTGGGCAGTCCGAGCCAATCCATGGCAAGAGGACCCCGACTTCATTGAGAGTGTCCGTTGACGCTCTCAGAGATTCATAGCTCATGACCTCCGGCAGTGTGTTCGGAGCTCCGACGACCTCTTCGGGTTGTGGTGCCAGCACAATTTCGGAAACCTCTACCCTTATTGCCGAGGCATCCTCCATAATTCGGCCACCACTGAGGGCTCTCCAGGAAGCATAAACCAGTCGCTCTCCTGGACCTGAACAGCTACTGATGTGGTCTTTCTACGCAACATTGGACTGGTAGCCGTAGCTACAGTCACAGTGGGGACCCGACCCGATACCCACAGTGGCTGGTCCCACCTCCCACTGGGGAGGTTGGTTTGCCAATTCCAAACGTGTCCAACCTCAAACACGTTGGAAGGACAGCTTCGCTCTCTCAGTGTCGACCCCATCCCTAGCCGCACTGGCACCCATTTTGATGAGCCAGAAGGGTGGTCCTGGCTGAAAAATCCTAAGCAAACTGGCATACTGTTTGTGACCGAAAGTACCAGGGTTAACTGATCAAGTGCACCCATCCTTTGGCAGGTTGAATTTAGCCGGCGAACCGTTACCAGCGGGACCACGTGGAGGTATCAACCATGTAACTACAGCTCCTCAGCCTTCAGGGGGGAAGCATGCCACTGCTCCCCCCCCCCTTTTTTTTAGTGGCCGAGGACCCCCAAAAGAACTCCCCAGGGTCTGGTGAGCCGCATTTTCCCAATCCATCAGGACCGGTACTGAACAACCTTCCCCCAGAGGCCTTAAGAGAGTCATAGTTACTCCTGGGGGAGTAACAGCTCATGCAGGACCCCAGCGGGCACCACAGCTGGGGAGATCCCCGGAAAGTGCCCGGCGCACATCCAGAGTCGCTGCTACCCGCTGCATCACATCTGCCCGCCGGCCCGCCTTCACAGCCAGGTGCACACACTGCGCCGTGAGACACCTGGACCCTGGGCCGCCAGCGGGCACAAGGCGTGTCGTCGACCGCCCGCGATGCAGGCCTTGACCCGGCCTTCCAACGGCGGCATGTGGAGGGCAACATCGGGGACCACTCCCCCAGTCGCAGCACGTGCACAGCCTCGCTTCGCACCCCAGCCCGACCGACCCAGCCCATAGAGCCAATCCATCTCCCAAAGTTACGGATCTCACTTGCCGACTTCCCTTATCTCCCTTCTTCCAACGCCAGAGGCTGTTCACCTTGGAGACCTGCTGCGGATATGGGTACGGCCCGGCGTGAGATTTAAACTGTCTCCCCCGGATTTTCAAGGGCTAGCAAGAGCTCACTGGATGCCGCCGGAACCGTGATGTTTTCCAGGGCACATGCCCCTCTCTTGGGAAGAACCCATTCTAGGACGCCCTGCCCTTCACAAAGAAAAGAGAAGTCTCCCTGGGGCTCCCGCCAGCTTCTCTGGGTTCACTTGCATTACCGCACTGGACGCCTCGTGGCGCACATCTCCGCCACTCCGGGTTTGGGGATCTGAACCCAACTCCCTTTCGAACAGTCGGGGGCGACGGAGGCCATCGCGCCGCACTTCCGAACGGCGTTTGCCCATCCCTTAGGACCGACTGACCCATGTTCAACTGCTGTTCACATGGAACCCTTCTCGACTTGGGCCTTCAAAGCTCTCATTTGAATATTTGCTACTACCACTAAGATTTGCACCTGCGGGGGCTGCACCCGGGCTCGCGCCCCAGGCTTCCACGCTCACCGCGGCAGCCCTCTTACTCGTCGCAGCGCAGCCCTCGCGGCTTTCGTCGCCAGTGACGGCCAGGTGAGGGCCCGACGCTCCAGTGCCATCCATTTTCAGGGCTAGTTGATTCAGCAGGTGAGTTGTTACACACTCCTTAGCGGGTTCCGACTTCCATGGCCACCGTCCTGCTGTCTATATCAACCAACACCTTTTGCGGAGTCTGAGCGTCGGCATTGGGCACCTTAACCCGACGTTCGGGTCATCTCACAGTGCCAGTTCTGCTTATCAAAAGTAGCCCACCTGGCGGCTCGTATTCCATGCCCGGCTTCAAGCCAGCAAGCTGGGCTTCTTACCCATTTAAAGTTTGAGAATAGGTTGAGATCATTTCGGCCCCAAGACCTCTAGTCATTCACTTTACTGGATAAAACTGCGAGACTCTGAGCACCAGCTATCCTCGGGAAACCCTGTGGGGGGTACTCTGGGAGTATGGGGTACCGGGCCCTTTGATACGGGCTGTTAGATCCCTGTATGACCGGTGTCAGAGCCTGGTCCGCATTGCCAGCAGTAAAACGGGCTTGTTCCCGGTGAGAGTTGGACTCCGCCAAGGTTGTCCTTTGTCACCGATTTTGTTCATAACTTTTATGGACAGAATTTCTAGGCGCAGCCAAGGTGTTGAGGGGATCTGTTTTGGTGGCCTTAGGATTGTTTCTCTGCTTTTTGCAGATGATGTGGTCCTATTGGCTTCATCAGATCGTGATCGACAGCTTTCGCTGGAGCGGTTCACAGCCGAGTGCGACACGGCTGGGATGAAGATCAGTTCCTCCAAATCCGAGGCCATGGTCTTGAGCCGGAAAAGGGTAGAGTGCCCTCTCCGGGTCAGGGAGGAGGTCCTGTCCCAAGTGGAGGAGTTCAAGTATCTTGGGGTCTTGTTCACGAATGAGGGAAAAATGGAGCGTGAGATCGATAGGCTGATAGGTGCAGCATCTGCAGTGAAGCGGGTGCTGTACAAGTCTGTCGTGGTGAGAGAGAGCTGAGTCAAAAGGCGAAGCTCTCAATTTACCGATCGATCTACGTTCCCACCCTCATCTATGGTCATGAGCTTTAGATTGACAATATACCAGTAATAAAAACTTCAATATTTTTCAAAAATCAAACACAAGTTTGATGCTTGTTATAGCACAAAACACACGTTTGAGTTTTGTTGTAGCCAAATAAGTGGACAGTGTATCGCTCACTAAATGATCAAGTTCTGTGAAAACATGATCTATTTATAAATTATGTTGTGGATCTATGGCAAGCCCTTTTAACATAAAATCGAGTAGTCTGACTAACTGCAGTTGCATTCTAGATATCTAAAAATGAGTTTTGACTAGGAACAATTACATTTTGACTATCTAGAATGCTAATTTAAGATATCTGTATTTACATTCTGACTAGTCAGAATAACAATTCAAGATATCTTAAATGGAATTTTGACTTGTCAAAATGTAATTCAAAAGATCTGAAATGACGTCACCCGATTCATCATTTGAAGGGTCAAACATCCGTAATTACAATTCAAGATATCGCCAACGTGATTATGGATCAAGATGGCGGAAATGGAGTAGGAGGTTTTGACTTGAGCTCCTGACGATCTCCAAATAACTATACAAACTGACTCCAAACTGACTTCAAACTTGGATATAT